GTAGTTGTGGCACGTGGGCTCAGTAGTTGTGGCTCGCGGGCTCTAGAGCGCAGACTCAGTAGTTGTGGCACACGGGCTCAGTTGCTCCACAGCATGTGGGATCTACCCGGACCAGGACTCAAACCCGTGTCCCCTGCATTGGCAGGCGGATTCCTAACCACTGCGCCACCAGGGAAGCCCCTACTTTTAGTTTTTTAAGGAACCTCCATACTGTTCCCCATAGTGGCTGCACCAATTTACATTCCTACCAACAGTGTACGAGGATTTCCTTTTTTCCACATCCTCTCCAGCGTTAGTTATTTGTAGACATTTTGATGCTGGCCATTTTGACCGGGGTGAGATGATACCTTATTGTGGTTTTGATTTGCATTTCTTTAATAATTGGCGATGTTAAGCAGCTGTTCATGTGCCTGATGGCCATCTGTATGTCTTCTTTGGAGAAACATCTATCTAGGTCTTCTGCTCATTTTTTGATTGGGTGGTTGTTTTTTTATTATTATTGAGTTGTATGAGCTGTCTGTGTATTTTAGCTATTAACCCCGTCAGTCCCATCGTTTGCAAATATCTTCTTCCATTCCATAGGCTGTCTTTTTGTTTTGCGGATGGTTTCCTTTGCTGTGCAAAAGCTTTTAAGCCCGATGAGGTCTCGTTTGTCGAACAGGGCATTTTCTGGTGGGCATGGCTTCATGTCCTCTACTCTCTGGTCTCCTGGCACTTGTGCTGCCACCAGGCTACCAGAGCAATGGCAAGACTAAGCTACTCTACCCTCCAGCCCCAGGGGCCATCCCCGCCCCCACCAGCTACATCTCACCTGTTTGCCTCCTTGGCAAGACAGTGGACTCCTGGTTTGAGGAGGCGACCACGTATCTGGATTTATCCTTGTAAATGTGACTGCTGAGCACGCACCTCAGTGTGGCCCCAAATCTGAGAAAAGACATCTTAGAAGGACTCCAAACATGGTCTCAGCTCAAGCTTAATCTATCCGGCTGTTGCTCCAGGTTAAATAGCAAGGTTCGTGTGGAAGCAAGGCCGGGATTTCTTGATCAATGCAATCTGAGTCTCTGGGGGTGGCTGGTAATGCATCCTGGGAGACAGAAAGGAAGGTATGGGGCTTTTGGGGGAGAGGATAAGTTCTTGGGGGTCAGTCCTGGGCGGGGCGGGCGCTGGGACGATGGCTGTCTCACAGGGCCGGGCCTGTGCTGGGTGCCGCCCCCAAGGCCTGTCTGTGCGTCACACCACACGAGGCAGCTCGTCAGCTCTGATAAAGAAGAATAGCCCACGAGGCAGTTTGAATCACTCTTGTTGCCGGTCGGGAGGTGCTGGGACCGGGCGTCACACAGAAGAACAGTGTCGATCTTCACGGACGCAGCCCAAGCTTTCGCCCTGGGCCTGGTTAGCCGGGCGCGCGGCCAGGCCGTCACCTGCTGGGCCAAGTCAGCACCGTTTCGACCGTGTGGTTCTCAGCACCCGACTGTCGTACAGAACACAGCAAGTGCATGAGTGTTTGGGCACTTATTATGGGCGACCATCTATTCAGGGGACAAGCGTGGTCATGACAGGATTCTGAGTGTGTCGGGACTGACCTGAGAGTGGTGAGCCGCGTCTTCTATTAGCTGATCTAAGGTTTTGTGCACAGTGAGAGCCGTCCCTCCCCCAGAACCGTTATGAAGTGGCAGCCTGCACGTCTGCCGGGGGCTCAGGGGACGGAAGGCGGAGACCCAAGTGCCTTGGAAGGGGCTGTCCACTCACCCAAACGGCGGTGGAGTCCCTACGCCTTCTCAGGGCTCTGCACTGGCCCCAACATCTGTGAATGGACGGAGTCTGAGTGTGAGAAGAGAGATCACGTCGGAGGTGGCCCGTGGTCGCTTCACCCAGGGTGTCACCCATGCACTCGATAACGTGAGAGGAGCCCGGAGCCTGAAACACCGACCCTTCACAGGAACAAAATGAGAAATCACAGCAGCTGAGCCAATGGTGTAGAAGGCCTCTGTTAAATGCTGGGAGAGGCTGGGAACAACAGGACAGAAGCTGAGAAGGGACACGAGCACAGAGGACAGCCATGGGAAGGGCCTGGCAGATGCGCTCCAGCTGGGAACCCCTGTCACCACAAAGGGCACAGACCCCACTGGGAGACACTGGGTTTTGGGGGGTTTTTTTAGTGTTTTTTTTTTTTTATGTGGACCATTTTTAAAGTCTTTATTGAATTTGTTACAATATTGCTTCTGTTTTATGTTTTGGTTTTTTGGCCATGAGGCATGTGGGTTCTTAGCTCCCCGACCAGGGATCTAACCCGCACTCCCTGCATTGGAAGGCGAAGTCTCAACCACTGGACCGCCAGGAAAGTCCCGACACTGGGTTTTAAGACAAATCCAAAGAAATCCCTTAATATACCCTGGGTGCTGTGTCCAAGGTGGAAGTAGTTACTGGACCTGAGTCATGGTTGCCACTTGAGGGGACGAGGGGAGGCTAAAAACCATTCCCACCTTCGACAGAGACCCTCCATCATCACCACCATCCCCTACGGTCCCTGAACATCACTAGGGGGACCCCGGCCTGCCCTTCGGGGACATCGCCCTCCTCACATCAGCATGTGCTTCACGGCGTGTGTCTCCCTGAGGATGGATTACTGCCGCTCACCACCGGGGTGACATGGTCCTCGGCCCAACTAGAAGCTCCATGAAGGAAAATGACACATGGTTTTCAATTTCTGTTTCAAGTTTATGGAAAAACTTTGCTGTAATAAACATAAGAACTGGTCCCCCTACAGAGAAGTGGAGGTGGTAGGAGCCCAGGTGAGGGGTCCCAGGGCCGCTGCCCCAGACACCGCCTGGCCGGTTCGAGCTGCGTCAGGTCGCAGCGAGGATGTCGGGTCAGTGACGGCTCCGCTTTAAACCGCCGCCCCCGGCACCACCTGTCCCTCTCTGGCTTTTCCTCCACAGCCCACGCAACCACCTAATGCACTTTGCATTTTGCTTGTCTGTTTTGCCTCCTCGAATGTAAGTGTCATGAGACCTGCTTACAGGGATTCTGTTTGCCACCACGTGACCCAGTGGGATCAACAGTACCTGACAAGTATGGGGTACAACAGTAAGTGTTTGTTGAGTGAATGAATAAAAGATGGGGGATGTAGGCAAACCGTGAGTGAGAGCCTGCTTTGTGACATGATTGCCCAGTTGGTTTTCTACTTCATCATTTTCTCCCAACTGCACTGCGGGAGCAGACTCTGGTCAGAAAACAAACAGTTTTCAAGTGGGGCTGTCTTCTAGAGTATTTTTCACTGGTTTCTAGTTGCCTCTTTACCAAAAGCCTTGTTTTTGAAAGCTAATCTCTAAATGATCAGGTTAAAATAAAAAGGCCTCTCCAGTTCTTAATAACGAAAAAGCAGAAAACAGACTTTATTCCAAGAGAGATTTTTAAAAGAAGTTTTTAAAGAAAAAGACAAGTTACACTACTAATGCAAATGTTTGTCACTGTTTCTGAATTTTCCTTCCCCAAGGCTAGTACTCCAGCCAAGCTTTCGCAGGATGTGTTCAGAGCCCTTGGCCCACAAGAATTTGGCCTCGCTCTTCCTCCCGTGGGGGCTTCTCAAGTCTTCTAAGCCAGGCAGTAAGAATGGTTACAAGGCTGCTGAGAGCCATGGGCCCACAGGGTCCTGGGCTGGCGCCCACTGGCATTTCCAGGGAGAACTCCAGTGCAAGGGGTTTCGGCTGGTGTCCCAGCAGCAAGCAGAGACGGCTGAGCAGGCTAAGCTTTCCAAAGACCAGACGTGACACCAGAAGCCGTCGTGTGTTCCCCAGAAGGAGCCGAGATGAGCAGATCATCCTCGCCCTGCCGGGGCCACACACCCCTGGGGCTCGGCCGATAACAGCGGCATCTGTGCTGAGTGCAGCACGTCTCACCCTCGGCAGGAGGGGGGACCCCGTCCCGGAACCTCCAGTCACACCGCTCCGGGCTGCCGGGGAGCGCGGCACACCACACGGAAGGCCCCGACCCTCTCGGGCCCCAACCAGAGCCCCAGCGGCTGCCTCTGCTGTGCAGTCCAAGCGGTCCCGAGGCCGAGGCCTGGCTCGAGCGAGCCGGGGAGGACGTTCAGATGAAGGACCTGGCCAGGGTCACCATGTGGTCCACACCGCACGCCACATCCACAGGCTCCCCAGGCATCGTCACCTGAACAAACAAGAACCAGCACACCGTGAGGAGAGATGGCCTGGCGGTGGCCGATCAAGGGCCTGACCCTGGCTCTGCTCTGGGTAGGTGACCTAACTGCTCTGAGCCTCGGCTCCCTCACCTGGAAATGGGGTGCTTACACCCACCCGGCAGATCTGCTGGGAAGGGTAGATGCACCCACCGTGGGAAGGGCCGTCCTGATGATTCCCCACCCAGACCCGGGCAGCACCCCCCGAGAGGCCGCTCTGGACACGCGCACGGACCCTGCCTGCACCGTCCTGGGACGTGCACACCCCACAGAGGCCGTTCCCCGTGAGTGTGACTCCCCAAAGACCAAACCTGCGCTCAAGCCAGCTGTTCAGTGACCCTTCCCAGGGGTCACCAGACAGCTCCCTGAAGCAGCTCCAGAAACCCTCCTGCCCTGCCCTGCCCTGCCCTCCCCTCAGGGTCCACTGTGGGAAGGAAGCCTCCCAGCCCAGTGCCTTCACCCGCTCTACACGTCAGCTCCAGACCCAGGCAGGCTGCTCCCAGGTCCTGCGCACCCCGGAGGAGGGGTATTTACTTCGTCTCAGAAGGTGCCAGAGGCCTGGCTGGCAGCCCTGCCGACACTGTCACCCACACTGACATCACTTCATCACAGGCAGGCCCAACCCTCCAGGTGAAGTGCAGACAGCCTCGTGCGTGTGGAGGCTCCAGCCTGCTGGCCTTGACGGTGACTCTCATTGCCCCACAGCTGGGCCGTGGAGATGGACCCCCCTCCCTCCAAACTCCATGGTGCCCACAACACAGGCGGGATCTCCAGGTGCACACAGCCACCCAGTTCTCCAGGAGAGGGGCACTTTGCTTTCTCCTCTTGTTGTATTATTATTATAAATATTATTACTTTGAATAGGTGATAGCCACGTGGCTACGATATAAAATGACATTCAGTAGAAAAGAAGAAAAGGTATTAAATACCCTTGGACACCACCCTGTCATCACATGCCCTGCTCCCCACCTTCCCTCTGAGCTGGAAACTACTTTTAACTGGTTTCTTGTCTTTCCAGAGATTCTAGACGCAGAAAGCCGGTGCGAGTGTAGTGTCTTCTTAGGGGGCAATTTCTAAGACAGAGCACCTGCACCACCTCCCCCTCAGCCCTGCCAGGACGCCGATGCTGCTCTTCTGACCGGATCCGAATCCTGCCATCCCTCCCCCGGGGCAGCGCTCAGCGGGGCAGTGTGACAGCTGGAGAGGGATCTGTAACAGCCTGCGGAGTTTACTGAGCTTCAGAGGGAAAGGCCTTGTCCAGATGGCCTGCCCTAAAAGCCCAGAGGCAGCAACATCAACCGTTCAGAGACAAGTCCATTAGGGTCTCCCAGCCACAAGGCAAACGGATGCTAGCAACCAAGTCGTGCTACTCACCCGTCCCTAAACAAACGCCTTCAGCAAAACCTGTTACAGAAATCACTGAACAAACATGCGGCGGTGCCCTCAGCTCATCGCAAAGGCCCAGAGCTGCAGAAAGCGTTCCAGGCTGGCCGCAGAAGCAGAAGAAAACACGCTGCCTGGGGTGACCAGGCCAGGTGAGCTCCTAGCAACCTCCCCGGGCCACGAGAGCACCTTTATTGACCTTCCCCAGGAAAGGGCCACTCTCCGCGCTGACCTGCGGCCGAGCTGTCACACTTAGGCACCTCTGTCCTTGTTCCCCAAGGGCTGTGACCATCAGAACCCAAAGCAGAGGGAGCCACCTCACCCTGGCTGACTCGCCGGGACGACGGTCATGGCTGACGCTGGCCCCAGGAGCCTCTCTGGGGAGCAGCAGGTGGCTCCCGGGGCCCCAGCTCCCCCCGGCCAACTGCCTCTCACTGTCAGCCTCTGAACTGAGTCCAAGAGAAGGCTGCCCTCAGCCACGTTTTATTTGTGGCCTCATCAGGGTTAAAAGGAGTTTCTATTCTAAACCAATTTACACTCAAATTGTTGCAAAGGCAAACAGTTCCAGAAAACGAACCATATTTGGCCTGAGTGACTCTGAAAAGTTTGAGCAGAATCAGTGTAGGAACAGCTCTCTGCACCAGGACAAGTTCCCAAGACACACACCCACCAGGTGAAGGGCAGAGGAAGGCAGAGAGGAGCGCTGGACCAGCTGTGATCCGGCCACCAGACTTGCCGTGTCCCCACTCAGCTGTACCCGGGATGCCCTGACCCGCGCCCAGAAGCCAGGCCACACCCAGGAGGGGAGCCGGCTCAGCCTGCGAGGAGGCCCAGCCCCTGCGGCGTGCCCTCCCCTGGGGCGTCAGAACTGCCGGGGCCTGTGGCTCCTGAAGCAGCCAGGTAAGAAAGAGGCCCAGGAAGCAGAGGGTTCCCAGCTTGTGCTCCAACCCAAGCCCCACCAGAGAGGCGCACGGCGAGGGGGCGTAGTCTGCGCTCAGAGCACCGAGGTCACGTCGCAGCCCACCCACTGCGCGGCTGAGAGACTGGGCCAGCGGCTTCGAATCCTGAAGTCAGTGTGCACGGGGGCAGGCTGGGGGGCAGGCTGGGGGGCAGCCCAACCTTCACAGGCTGTTCTGAGGATAAGAGAGACGGTGCAAAGCACCGGCCCCCGGGACAGCTCCGGGCCCTGAGAATGGCGGTCATGTGCGATGGAAAGTTAGGGCATGGCCTGGGTGGGGGTGGGGGTGGCACCACTCGAAAGCTCTCCCCAGTGTCCTGTTCCCAGGCCCGCAGGGCTGCCATCGGGCAGAGGGTCCCCACCTCCACCTCGCCCTCCCTCCACCACGGGGACTCCAGGGGAACCCAGCTCAGGCCCTCGAAGAGGAGGGGGACCATGGTGACGTCTTAAAGTCAGAAATTCTCAGTCTGATTCTTGGCTCCACTTTTTTTTAAATATATATTTATTTATTTTTGGCTGTGTTGGGTCTTTGTTGCTGCACACGGGCTTTCTCTAGTCATGGCGAGCGGGGCCTACTCTTCCTTGCAGTGCACAGGCTTCTCATTGTGGTGGCTTCTCTTGTGGAGCACGGGCTCTAGGCGCACAGGTTTCAGTAGTTGTGGCACATGAGCTCAGTAGTTGTGGCTCGTGGGCTCTAGAGCACAGGCTCAGTAGTTGTGTTGCTCCGCGGCATGTGGGATCTTCCCGGACCAGGGCTCGAACCCGTGTCCCCTGCATGGGCAGGCAGAGTCTTAACCACTGAGCCACCAAGGAAGTCCTCCGCTTCTTACTAGGTGTGTGACCTTAAAGAAATCACTGAACCTCTCTGAGCTCTGAGCATCAATGTGGAGGAGGAAAACCTCCTGGACAGCTTCCGGAAGGAGAGGTTTCAATCAGGTGACTCAGATATCACTTCCTAGGCCTACGAATCGTCAGAAAAGCCCAGGCTCTGTAAGGAAGTCTAAGGATAACTAGTTAATAGCACTGCAGGACCTACAAATACGGCTTTACTCTTATTTTTCTTTCTTGGAATACTTTTTAAATGATGTAACATATCCCCTACTTAAGATTAATAAGAAAAGTTTAAAGAATATAAAAATCACCTGCAATTTTTTTTTTAAGCGACAACAGAACAGACTGGAGAAAGGTCCAACTACCCAACAAGAGACTAACCTCTAAGGAATCCAACCTAGTTGATCGAAAACCTGGTTCCTGTCACCACCACTCTCCCAGACCCCAGCCTCGCATCTTGGAGCCGGCATGGACCTCAGCACCATGCTCCCAACCCGGACCAAAAGGTGACACGGGGGGCGAAGGAGCTCTACAGACACACAAGGGGAGACAATGGTGTGGGGCACGAAAGCAGCCGTCACAGGAACAGACCAGAGTGACCCTTCCCTGATGGCATGGAGGCCGGGAACGACACTTCAGAGGGACGTTCGGCGCAGGGGTCCGGCTTGAACAACGGGGCATCCGCCCCCAGGCCTGGCACTCCACCACAGAGGCCAAGCCTGGCCCGGCCACTTGGACAACGAAAACGCTCTCAAACCTGATTTCACAGCTGATCTTCGCTCTAATTGGGAGGACGTGAGGCAGGTGGGGAGCCCCTAGTCACAACGGTCATTCACTCAAAACCCACTTGCTTGGCCATTTCCCCAGCTGCCCCTCAGAAGGGAGTCCCTTGTGGAGGGAGGGGGGGCTGTTAAAGAGAGGGCTGCGAGTGGCTCCCAAGAGAAGCAGCAGGATTCTAACTGCTACGTATCCCTGAGCTGCCGGCCACGGTCCAGCCGCCGCCATGCCTTTCCTCACCCGGGGTAGGGTCCCCGGGAACAAGCGGGTCAGCACCAGCCAGGCTGGGAACAGCTCTGGGCCACAGCCATTTTTTTCCAACAAGTTTAAAGTCTCCCTTTTGACCTGTTCTCTTAGAGAAAGCACCGGAGTCAGGGCCTGCCGAGCTCAGGGGATCCAGGAGAGCCAGCAGCCAGGGGGAGCTGAGAGAAAGGGGAGCTGAGAGAAAGAGCCCCTAAAACAAACACCAAAGTGAGTGCCTTGAAACATTTTCCCTGGGTTGTTGACCGATAAATCCTTTCTTCCTTCCTTTCTTTCCTTTTTTCCTTTCTTTCTCTCTCCATCTCCCTCTCTCCCTCTCTCCCTCTCTCCCTCCCTCTCCCCCTCCCTCTCCCCCTCCTCCCTCCCCTCTCCCTCCCTCTCCCCTTCCCTCCCCTTCCCTCCCTCTCCCTCTCTCCCTCTCCCCTCCTCCCTCCCTCCCCTCTCCCTCCCTCTCCCTCCCTCTCCCCTTCTCTCTCCCTCCCTCCATCTCTCCCTCTCCCTCCCTGCCTCTCCCTCTCCCTCCCTCTCTCTCC